GACGTGCTTGCTGCAATGGAAGTCAACGGAGGGACGCACCTTATCAACGGGCTTCTGACTGAAAAACCACTGCTGCCCAGGGTAATTGAGTTTGTGAAGGCATCAGCAGATGCAGGACATTCTGTGACCAGAGACAAGCACAAGGAGGATGCGGACGACGAACCGCCAAAGCCACAATTCTATTTGTTCTCGCGAGAGCGTCTGGTTTCATTATTTCATGAATCTAGCCCAAGAAGGGTTGGGCGTGGACTACGAAATCTTGGCAACACTTGCTTCTTCAACAGCGTGTTGCAAGTCCTCACTTACACTGGTCCGTTGCAAAACCTACTGCTGTCAAAACAGCACTCCAGGGAATGCATTTCCAAGCGCGAGGGGACTGTTTGTACCTTGTGCTTGCTGGAGTCGCATGCCCAGGAGGTTTTCGATATTGGCAAGGCTCCTATGAAGCCAACCAGACTATTGAGCCACATGCCGCAGATTGCCAGCAGATTTCGCGCACAGGGGCGTCAAGAGGATGCCCATGAGTTCCTCATACACTTTCTTGATGCGTGCTCCCTGCATGTTGATTGAATAGATGGTATATATATATATACATGCATATTTCTGATATTGGTGCACGCACACACACACACATATATATATATATACTGTATAATTTACGAACAAGAGTTTTCTCGGCCACCAGGTGCCACAAATCCATTTTGAAGCAAGCTACTCAGCAGCCTGTTCCTCGGCCGGTGCAGGGCTTAGACTTTTGAAGCCCGCAGATTCTGCGATGCAAAGAAGGGTGTATTCATACCCCTCACCAAGGATAGGTGTGTCCAGTGCACAGTTCAGCTGTACCCCGGAACAGACCTTCTGAACCTTCTGAGGTGCAGCAGACCAGTGTCATTTGCCAACTCTTTGGTGGCTTTCTCCGGTCGCAGGTTGGGGCAAAGAGGAATCGCCTTCATGGCGAGTTTGTGGCTCATTAGTTTGTCTTTGTGCAGGTATTGTGCCTGAAATGCAAGTATGCGTTTGAACCTCAAGCCAACACGGCCGCCGCACACTGATATTGCCTGTGAAGATCAAACACAACTGGATGCCAGAGGTCGAACACATTTGATCCTTTCATGGACATCAGCCTGGAGGCAGAATTTCCAGAGCAGGGATCGAGGGAACGTTGCTGGCGCCTGAAAGGTCAGCAAAGCATCAACATTGGAAAAAGCGCTGGATGCGTTCACAACCAGCAACTTGGCGGGGTACTAAAATCACGAAAGCCAGCTGATAGGCTAGGCCGGAGTTGTCGATGGGCGAACGAAGTGGGGGGAGCAGAGGCTGGTGGGGGAGAGCGAAAACGAGGTGGTCCGAAAAACTGTGAACATATATGGTTTTTGGAGTGTTGTGATGCAAGTGATGTAATTGACGCCGAATAGTGCATCATCAGCATCATGAGGGGCTCAGGAGGTTATTTGGACAGTCTTTCGACAAGGGGTGGGAGTTCATGTTGATGATAGGGGAGGGGGGACAACGTGACAGGAAAAGAGGTCGGAAACGCACCAAGAAAGTGAGATGTGCGTCTCTCAATCATCTCTTTTCTCGTGGTTATGTAGTGAGAGTGGAAGGGAGCGCAAGAAACGATGTCACGGAGAGGGAGCAGTTAACTGGATGCAAAAGGGCGCCCCTCAGAGCTATCCCAGGGAGTTGGGATTTGGGCAAGGGGTGGGAGCTCATGTGAAGGACAGGAACGGGGAGGACGACGTGACAGGAAAAGAGGTCGGGAACTCACCAGGAAAGCGACAAGTGTTCTCTCAGCTCTCTGTTTTTGGTTACTAAGAGTGAAAGGGAACGCAAGAAAGAAGGTGACCTACTTAGGGGTGCCCTTTTTCGGCTTGAAAGACGCCCTTGAACCAAAAGAAACAGGGCACCCCATCCCCCACCTGGGAATGTCCTGCTCAAGCCAACCCTTCTCCCACCGACTGTGATTGTCCTGCTCAACTCAACTTTTCTCCCACCTATCCTATAACCGCCAATGGGCCTTGATCGACACCTTGTGTATTAAAAAACAGTGCGAGACTTTCCGCCCCTGCCTTGTTTTTCCCAATGCCTGACAGCATGCGCTGTCGAATTCCCGTAACCACATTGATATCTTCTTACGGAGGCCGGCTTTCGTCCCCTCCCTTCTAGGTTCCTGCGCTATATGACTATATGCAACTAGGGCACCATTGCCATGCCCCACCCACGGCAAACGAGTGTGAGATTGTCGTTGTTTTTCTTGTGAGACAGGGTGGGGGTCTCGAGGATCAAGAATTCACCTGTCGTAACTGGTGGATTACATACTGGTGGATTACATGAAGAGGTTCGTTCGTTTTGCGTGGAGGGCTTTGGCTAGTCCGGTTGTGCGGACTCCGAAGCCCTGACAGACACAGACACAGTGGGCTCTTGCGCTCATGCGAAGAAGCTGAGGCGAGCAGTTAAGAGGTGCCAACAAATACCAGTGCAAACAGTGCAAGCAAAAAGTTGATGCCACAAAAAGGTCGGGAACCTTATCTCAGCTGTGTTGTGTGGTCTCAGCACTACTTCAGTGCTGCCCGCTAAGCTACATGCTGCTCATGCTGTTCACGCTGAACCTGCAGGTTTTCAATCCATTCGAGCCCACCACTGTTGAGCTTCCAGCTCAAGCGCTTCGACTTTTCGCACGGCTCTCGTGGATACAAGGCTGCACTTTTGGATGACGTGGATTCAATCAAGTTGCAAGTTTCTCTGAACCAGTTGAAAACATTGCCGCATGTCTTCTGTGATGCTTCATTTGAGGAAAGCTCCAGAAAAATGTGAAGTTTCCTTTGCCGAGTCCTAAAGATACAGTCCTTCGATGTCCTTCGAATTTCCAACGACTGACCTGTGTAAGCCGTTGCCAATTTTGTCTTCCCAGTCCAGGTCCTTGAACATAGCCCCCTACACGAGCCACAGGGACCGGGAGGCAGGGTCATACAGTGAAGGTACGGTAGGCACCAACGCTGTGTGCGTTTTGCAGCCTGTTTTAAGGAAGGTCTGAATACAGGTTTACTTTGGACCTTGAGGCTTCCTACTGTAGGAGACCTTTCAGCAATTTGCTTCACAATACTGCTGGCAAAATTCCGGCTTTGCAAGAAGATACCATTGAAGATTATTGCTGGCCGAGGAAGGTCACAACGTTGTGGCAACATGTATGTAACTTGTAATATCTATATTAGCTACATTTGCTTAATTGATTGGAGCATTTTCCGCTGTATTTTCTGCTGGCAGCTGTAGGCAAAGTACAACCTCTATGGGCTCGTTGTGCACTGCACCTCGGCATGGACCACCTGCAGCTTTGCCGGCGAAATGTTTGAAGTCATGCGGCAGGTGGCCAGTCTGCCAAAAGCGGGCACTACGTGGCATTTGCTTCTTGGTGGGCAGCCAGTGTAGAACATCCGACCATGCGACGGGTGAGGCATTGACTATGCCTTGTCATATGTGTTGCTTTTGTTCAGCGTCACCTCAGGCAAAGCACAATGGGAACTGGTTTCAGTTCAACGATGAGGTGAGTCATTGTAGTTGTTTCTATGTCACTATGGATCAGCGTCCAGTTTGGTCAAACCCTGTTGGGTTTGTCTGTGCCAGAGGCCATAAGACAGGTTAAAGAGCAACAGGTCCTTGGCCAGGAGGCCTGTGAGTGAGACAACTGCAGGCAGTTGGTGTGAACAACCCGTGATGCATTGATATGCTCTGGAAGATCAACATGGAACCTGAAAACCACTGGGTTGTAGAGCCTTCCAAAGGTCCATGCCGTCAGGTTCCATGTGGGTCCCTTCCCGGGTGTAATTCCATCAGCCGAAGTTGGTCCCGAAGGCCTACCTCCTGTTTTACCAGACCGTTGGGCGACCAGGGTGAGTCAACGGGCAAACCTGACACACCTCACAGCTGTGCTGATGCAACCGGGTAGGCACTGCGCTGCCTTTCTGTCGCCACTGAGGCCGAACCGCCGCTGACGCAGTCGCAGCCCCTGTGGACTGACGGAGTGCCCAACACGGTGAAGCAGGCTTGCAATGCATGACACCTTGAAATGACAGATGAAAGCGCAGCGATCTGCGTACCCTTTCGCTGCATCCTTGGACATGAAAACCCCATCGCCAATCAGGCTTTCAATGGACTCACAAAGGACAACGGGCTTCAAAAGCTTCAAAAGGAGCACCTGGCGATGTGCTGCAAGGTGCGCAGCGAGTCTGTCTTTCGGGATTGATTTCACGGATTGACAGACTTCCATCAAGGTACAATGCAATGGAGCTCCTGTAGCTCCCAACAGAAGCCCGTTTTGCACTAGCGCATCGTTTCCTTGCACTTGGTGTCTCTGTCATCGAAGACCGCGGCCGCTGAGACACGTGTCGGCTCCCCAAGGCGAGCGCGGCAACGAACCTTTGGAGGTGAAGTCGCCAAGGCCTTCCAGTGGAAGGCCCTGCAATCGAGGCTTTTGAGTAAGGCCCTTGAGACTTTCCGAATGACTCATCAGGCCACAACAGGAAGCTTTGAAGGTAGTTGACCCAGGCCATCTGGTCAAAAGTCCAAGTCCTGAGGCCAGGACTTTTGATCCTTTGGATGTGTTTTCGCTGATTGTTTTGTATCACTGTATCATTCGCTTGTCTCTCAGAGGTCCAACAGCAGCCCCCAGAGACGCGGAAGCGGAGCAGGCACAGTCTTGTTTGGAGTCTTTTTGCCTGCACTGGGCTGCACCTGAGACCTGGTAGGCTGAGATCTCGTCTCGACAAGCTGCGGAAATACCAGGAACAGTTGTGCAAAAGAATGTGCAAGAAATGTCAGCCATGTGGCATATCAGCCATATCAGCCACATATCAGCCAACAGCATGTTTGATTGGAAGGCCTCAGTGGCCAAGCTCAAAGCCTCAAGCTCCTTAGGCCCAGTTGAAATGAGAGCGAAATGGCACTAGCCCAGACCCACAGTCTCAGGTGGTGAGACACTGGCGGAGGCTCCCACGCCGTCGGGTTCTGAAAGGACTCGAAGATAGTTTGGAATCGAGTTCTTGATACTAATTCCTTTGCTAATTTGAATTCTAATTAAACTTAATTACTAATAGCTTCTTGTTACTACTAGTAAGGCACTTGTTACTAGTAGCGATGCACTTGTTCCTAGTGGCTTATTGTTTCTTGAAAAGAAATGAGGCCGAAACGTTTGAAAGTGCAAGAGCACGATGTGACCGATCGGGTGGCCCAAGTTGCCGATTTGTGGAACAATGTGGAACGAGTGAGTCTTTGAGCACTGGAATGTGCGAAGGTAGCAACTACTACTGATTATGCTCGGCAATATGGACAAGCAGAGGCCTGCAGTGCGCCAAGCAATAGTCAGACAGATGCAGCCAATTTCCTTTAGCTTTGGGCAGGTGGAGGCTTGGGAGAGCCCTCACGTGCGAGAAGATCTGCGGTTTCTCCAGGTGCTGCTCTTTGAAGTTCCCAGGTGCATTTTCTGGGAGCAACCTGCAACCTCCCCTGCAGTGCACTGCAATTTTCTGAGAGGCCCAAGAAGCGCTGCAACCTCGACCTCAGAAAAGAGATGAGATTGACCAGGATTACGACGCCTGAAGCTCATGCCTTTCCGCCGGATTGCACATGAAAATGCGGATCCGTGGAGAATATGTATGGCTTAACATATCCAGATCCGCGACCCCACCCCTGCAGCCAGATCCAATTCCAAAATTCTCGCGTTGCCCCGGTCGTCTGGCAAAACTTTTTGCCACTTGTGCCGATTGCTCATGGCCCCCACTCAAAATGGACAGCCGTGACCACTCAAAACAACTCTGTGGTGGCATATTCGGTTGTCAGTCGACGCATGCAATCGATTTTTCACGTCCATTTGCACTACAAAACCGTCAGTTCCAATCTCGGAGCCTTGAGCAGCCACTCCGCGTACGACCTTTGTAGTTTGGAACGCCAAAAGCCGCCAGTCACTCCATGTACATACAACATTTGTACTAAGAAACCGCCAATTCTGAGCCTAGACCTTCCAAGAGGGCGTTGATCAATAGGGAGAAACCGGGGGTTCTACAATCAGATCCTTTTTTGAAGCTTCCGGCCCCTGCTTTCCTGTGTGACCACGTGTACGTCAAGCTAAAGTAACATCGCTGTGCCTATCACTGAATGGAACTAGAAAGTGGAGCGCACTTGAGGCAACCAAGGTAGTTGGTAGGTACTAACGGACCAAGAGTGACCTCTAGATATTTCCTGCATCCAAGATCGCTGTTTTGAAGGGATCGCGGAATGTCTAGATATATCTATATAGATAGTACACGCCATGCACATTTAGTCCATGCCAAGTGCCCATGTAAGCATGTGCATTTGTTAAACTGGCACCCTTAACCAACGGTCAAAATATATATCCTGGTAGATATTGGAGGGAGGGCGTACCACACACACAGTTAGATTGATAGATGCTGGAGATAGATTGATAGCTAGCCAGGTAGGTGCGACAGATGGCTGGCTGGCTGGCTGGGTTGGTTGGTTGGTTGATTGATTGATTGACTGACTGACTGATTGATTGATTGATTGATTGATTTTTTGATTGATTGATTGATTTATTTATTTGATTGATTGAGTGCTATATGTATATGTGGCCTGCATGTTGATCAAACACCACCGCCTATGATTGCTTTGATTGAAATGGTTTGGCAAGGTAGGCAAGAGGAAGCACAAGCCTCGGAAGCCAAAGGCTGCCAGTAGTGACAGACAAACACTTTGTCCGACCAAGTCCTTGATGCTTGCAAGTTGGTTATTGCAAGTCTGCAAGTCCTTGATGATTGAGTCCTCATGAGAAATGGATTGTCCTTGATGCTTTGTCACTTTTCTTTTTCTCGGCAGCCTGTGGCAGGTGGTCTTTGAAGGGCGAAGTCTATTTGACAAAGAGGCGGATGGAACTGATGGAACACATAAAGTCAACGACGTGATTTCTGCCGAGCTATTTTTTGTGCTCTTTTCTCTGCATGGTGGTGAAAACAAACCGTCAGGAGCAACGACGGCGTGCCTTCAAACAGGGAGGCCATGGGACTGGGGATGTTGTCTTGGGTGGATCATCCACACTCCCTAGCAGTTTGGCGAAGGTGCTGGAAGCAAAGGAGGAAAAGGAGGGAAAGGAGGGAAAGGAGGGAAAGGAGGAAAAGGAGGGAAAGGAGGGAAAGGAGGGAAAGGAGGAAAAGGAGGGAAAGGAGGGAAAGGAGGGAAAGGAGGGAAAGGAGGGAAAGGAGG